TTGACACGAAATGACTCAAGCCAAAGCTTTCAAAAAACAAGGACTCTGAATGATTTTGACTAGCATAAGAGTGGTGTGAATGTACCTGAAGTTGTATGCAACAATTTCTGATGAGTTGCCCAGACGTACAAAGCTGTAGTGAGGATGACAATTTGAGTCTTCTTTATCAAGGTCACAGGGCCACTCAATCAGTATTGTACCACCCTGCCATTATAAATGAAAAGATTAGATTCAGCATAATAAGCACGAAATGTCTATTACATGAAATGTTGCAATTCTGCCACACATTAAAACCACATTCACTATTCTTGCCTCTAGAGCCATTTCTTCAAACTTATGTCCAGTTTTGTTCACAATATCTCCCAGTTGAAATACAGTACGGGTAAGCAATTTCATCATACAAGCAGCTTTTTAAATGTAATTTTCTGTTTTCCATTTGAACATTTGATCTGAGAAGAAAAACAACATTTGAGATAATTGCATGGTAATACAGGAAATAACTGTATATAGTAAAGTTTTGTGTGCTTTTTATTGATGTAAAAGCAGACAGGGTTTGTACTCATTACCCATGGATGCATCAGACGTCGATTGTAAAAGTTGTAATAAATGGTGAAGGGAAAATTTTTGTCTTACCTCTGAACAGTTGCCTACTGTTTGGTTTGTTGTCTCGATGAAATTGGTTATTATAGTAAGAAAATTCTCACCCTGGAAACAGAATTTAAGACTTATTACTGAAGCAAATTAATGATAAAGCAAATCATTACTAATATGTTTGACACAGAACTGATTGTTTTATCTATTGTATATAGCAATATTAAATATGAAATATATAATATATGTAAACAATATGTAATAATCTATAAATAATATGTCAGTTATAATATATGTGTTCAAAATGCTCAGTTGTGGTTCAACTACTGTTTAAAAAAAATCTTACTTTTTCTAATAAAAAAGTAAGATCTAGTAATCTTTCTAGTAATCTTACTTACTAAAATCCAGACTTTTATTTTAAAATAGTCCACTCTTATTTTAGCAGAAGTACAAGCACATTTCTTCACACTTCACACACCGCTGTTATCGTAAGTTTTACAGTCAGCTGATTTCATACAAAGATCAGTCTGCTTTCTGCAGCTAGAGTTGGACTTTGCCGCTGAACGACTGATTCCCAGTAAACACTGAATAGTAAATAAATCATGACTAAATACGAGGACATTGCTATTCATGGCTACGAGGAATTTTGTAAAGCTGTGTCTGAAAGAAAAGGAAAAGAGATATTCGCTTACTTCTCTGGAGATAAAGATGACCAGGGCAAGAGCTGGTGTCCGGACTGTGTGAAAGGTACATTAACATTATACAGTAGCTGCTGTTTCACAAAAGGCACATTGATTTTTCTTTCTTTATTTATTTTTCGCTCATGCAGCAGAGCCAGTGGTTAGAGGAGAGCTGTCTCATCTGCCGGAGGGATCTGTCTTCATTTACTGCCAAGTAGGAGATAGACCTTAGTAGGTTTACAAGACATTCTTCCAATTATAGATTGGCTATATAAATAATTTCATAATATATAACATACATATTTCATGTATGTTGCTGCATTTAGTATACAAGATAGTGCTTATGTTTCGTTTTGGCCTAGATTAAAGGGGTCATATGATGCGATTTCAATTTTTCCTTTCTCTTTGGAGTGTTACAAGCTCTTGGTGCATAAAGAAGATCTGTAAAGTTGCAAAGACTAAAGTCTCAAATCCAAAGAGATATTCTTTATAAAAGTTAAGAGTCAGCCACGCCTACCTAAAACAGCTCAGTCTAAGACGCCCCCACATATCTACATCACGATGTGGGAAGATTTGCATAACGCCGCCCAAATGTTCACGCAAAGAAAGAAGGCGTAACTTTTATTCTCGCTGTAGTATTGTTGCCGCCGCCATGTCGTGAAGGTGCTGTGTGTTTCGTTGTGAAAGCGAAACTACTTTGTTTGG